ATAACAACCAATGGTTACAAACCGAAGGGATAGCTGTCATGGGGTAAAACTGAGGAAAATTAGGCCAATGAAAAGACAACGCATCAATTAATGAACTGAAGCTTACGTTATCGAGCACCTTGATTGCATCAAAAAGTTTATGTTGCCTACTATTAAAGTATTTTGGGAAATTCTGAATTGAATCCAATTATACTTTATTTAAAATAATTAATTGAAGGTATTTTGGCAAATTCTGAATTTAGTCTAATTATGCTTTATTTATGCTCAGGTGGATGAGTGGCTTTACCCTTAGAGATATTATACGAAATGAGCATATACGTGAAAAGGTTGGAGTAGCTCCAGTAGAAGATAAGATTAGAGAAAGTCGCCTTAGATGGTTTGGTCACATAAAACGGCGGCCTTGCGATGACCACCCGGTTAGGAGAGTAGAGGCATTAGATTTGACTTATGTTAAGAAAGGTAGGGGTAGACCTAAAAAGACTTGGTTTGAAAATATTAGGAATGACCTTTCTTTATTAGATTTAAACGAGAATTTGACTTTTAATAGGACACAATGGAGAAAAAGGATTCATGTAGCCGACCCCACTTAGTGGGATAAAGGCTTGATGTTGTTGTTGTTGTATGCTTTATTTAAACTAATTAATTGAAATATGTGAATATTGAGCGAAATATAAAAATTTGTTGGCGAAAAGAAGAGGTTCTATTAATTGTTAAATATGAAAATTTGCGGCGAGAAGAGACCATGTTAACTAACATATATATGTGAAACATTTGAGCCTAAAGGGTTGTTATGGTTTTGGAATAAAATGATTGCCCTGACATTTGAAAAAAAAAAGATTTTATTGTGCAGAGAAGGTATTCTGTTGGCTGCAAAAAGAGATTCTATTAACGATAAGAAGATATTCTTTTAGCAGCATGAAGACATTCTTTTAGCAAATTTTTTTATTAAAATTTTATTTCCGTTAGCAAAAAACGTAGATAACTTTGCACTGATAAAATTTTCATAGCGTAACTTTTTATATGTTTTATATTTTATAATTATCCACATTTTAAACATTTAATGTAAATTTTACAATAAAGTACAAAGTTTTCAATTGTTGGGTTTTTATTGAATAAAAATTATATGGATATTAAAAATAATGTTATAATGCAATAAAAGTTTTAAAATATGATTTTACACAATATCTCATTATTTAGTAATTTTATAAAATATAGATTTTTTTGTAGTAGAATTTTATGTTGTCTATCGTTATAAAACACTATGAATTCTGATAATTGTCAATTATTATTTAACTGTTATAATGTGGGGATATATATGCATATGTGATTAAATTATATCTCTAGTGAGTTATGGGGGCCATAATTCTTTGAGATTCTGTCTGTGTCAGAGGATTATTAAGAGTTACAAAAGTGGTAAAATCTTTTGGGATTATGTCTGAGATAGAGATATATTATATGTTTTACATTTGTAATTTAGTAATTTTTTAAATTGTACATTTTTGCCTAATAAAACTTTCTGTTATCTACTGATATATAATATTTTGGAATTTTTATACATGATCAATTATTGTTTAACTACTTAAAGTGAGGTTATATATATATATATATATATATGATTAAATTATATTTGTAGGGAGTTTTAATGAGCCAGAATTCGTTGAGATTTTGTCTATGTTAGGAGATTATTAGGAGTTGCAAGGGGCTAGAATCTTTTGAGATTTTATCTGAGATAGAAATATATGATATGTTCTGGTGCTAGATGTGCAAACAAAAATAGCATGATATGAGCTAGAATCCTTTGAGGTTTTGTCTGTGTTCGAAAAAGTTGATATGAACTTTATGATATGAATTTTAATTTATATATTTGTTTTGTTTTGTTATTAAATCAGAGAATAATTGTTATGCATTTATTATATTTTTTATATAATGATTTATTTAAACTGTACTACTTTTAAATATTCAATAGAATATTTATTAAAAAAACATTTAAAAATTTTGATTAGTTTGTGTAGTCTGTGGTGCTGCTGTAGCTCATTATGATTTGAGTTTTGATATTCAGGATCTAAGAAGAAGGAAATTGTTGAGTAGTAGTTTGGGATCAGACTTAAGATTATATGTATTTTGTTATTTTGATTTTTGTACAATCATGATTGATTATATTTTTCAGTTTTGTAATTTTTGTCTGTAGCCATGTATTATAGTGTAGTTTTTTATTTTGATGAAATGAAAAAATCTGGTAGATGAATTTATATTTATTATTTGGATATTTTAGTAGCTCTGTTGTCTGTAGTTTATTTGATTAAATATTGACTTAAAATTTGAAAGAATTCGAAAACTAGATCTTCGGATTTGCCAGATAAAGCTTAACACGATAGAACCTGACCTCCTGTTCTTTTTTTGTGTATTTGGAACTTCGATTAGGCGGCTTTCAAATACACTTAAACTTCATTGCGTACAGCCAACTGTCAAGCTCATTGTGATTTTGCTTTTGATTTTTAGGATCTAAGAAGGAGGAGATTGTGGACTAGTAGTTCAAGATCAGATTTGAGATTATATGAATTTATTATTTTGATTTTTGTAAAGTCTTGGCTAGTTATATTTTTTAGTTTTGTAGCTTTTGCATGTAGCCATGTATAATAGTGTATATATTTATTTTGATGAAATGAAAAAAATTTGGTAGATGAGTTTATATTTAATACTTTGATATTTTAGTAGCTCTATTGTCTGTAGTTTATTTCATTAAATATTGACTGAAAATTTGAAAGAATTCGAAAACTAGATCTTCGGATATCCTGTCAAAGCTTAACACGATAGGTCCTGTCCTCCTGTTTTTTTTTTTGGGTGTATTTGGAACTTCGATTTTGCGGCTTTCAAATACACTTGAACTTCATTGCGTACCACCAAGCGTCAAGCTCACTGTGATTTTGCTTTTGATTTTTAGGATTTAAGAAGGAGAATGAGATTGTGGACTAGTAGTTCAAGATCATATTTGAGATTATATGTATTTTACTATTTTGATTTCTGTACAGTCATGGTTAGTTATATTTTTTAGTTTTGTAGTTTTTGCCTGTAGCCATGTATCATAGTATAGATATTTATTTTGATGAAATGAAAATAATCTGGCAGATGAGTTTATATTTAATACTTGGATATTTTAGTAGCTCTGTTGTCTGTAGTTTATTTCATTAACTATTGACTGAAAATCTGAAAGAATTCAAAAACTAGATATTCGGATTTGCCTGTCAAAGCTTAACACGATATGACCTGTCCTCCGGTTTTTTTTTTCTGTATTTGGAACTTCGATTTGGCGGCTTTCAAATACACTTGAACTTCATTGCGTAGCGCCAACCGTCAAGCTCACTGTGATTTTGCTTCTGATTTTTAGGATCTAAGAAGGAGAAGGAGATTGTGGACTAGTAGTTCAAGATCAGATTTGAGATTATAGGTATTTTACTATTTTGATTTTTGTACAATCATGGTTAGTTATATTTTTCAGTTTTGTAGCTTTTGTTTTTAGCTATGTATCATAGTAAGCCTGTAGCCATGTATCATAGTGTAGATATTTATTTTGATGAAATGAAAAAAATCTGGTAGATGAGTTTAGATTTAATACTTGGATATATTAGTAGCTCTATGATCTATAGTTTATTTTAATAAATATTGAATTAAAATATGAAATAATTCCAAAACTAGATCTTCAGATTTGCCTATCACAACTCAACACTATAGGACCTATCATCCAGTTCCTTTTTTTGTGTATTTGGAACTTCGATTAGACTACTTTCAAATACACTTGAACTTCATTGCTTGTCGCCAATCGTCAATGCCATCCACAACTACTGCCAGCCACCACGATTGTTGTAGCCCCTCAGGTTAGAACGAATGCCTCAACGCTTTATATATAGTGACTATTTGTTGCGTGGAGTTTGAAGTTAGTAGCATTGATTTATATATAATTAAAACTATTTAGGAAATTAAATTTATAGGGGTTTGGTTCTTTTTATATAATTGATATAAATAATTTCATTATATATAGTTTTAAATATTTTAATAAATAGTGAAAATTTTATTATATTTTTATTAAGAGGTATAAATTATAAGATATTAAAGTAATAAAATTTTTTCCATTTAAAGTAGAAAATGTTAAATATTAAATTATCGAATAATTTTAAGATTATAAATCTGTTTAAATTTTATTTTAAGAAATACTAGCATGTAGAAATAAATTTAGTTAATATTAATTTTTTTATTTAAATTGAAAAAATAATTTTCTTAAGAGTTGTAAAATTACTATTGATGATTGGGTTGGATTTTTATTTTTCATATCATAAAATGTATCGTAGATTATTTAATTACAACAAAATTTTGTCACATTAAATTATTAATATCCTTGCAAAATTAATTAGCTTGGTTAAATTTAAATTTTCTCTTCTTGCATTAGTACAAAAATGTTTCATTAAATTTCTCTCAAATTATCTCCTTAAATAGTTTATCATAAAAGAATCTAATAAAGTATCATATAATTATATAATTTGAGGAAGCTTATCATTTATTTATCTGTACTATCATAGTTTAACATTTTGTTGTATAGCAAGGAATTAATTAATGCACTTACTCAATTGTTGGTTATAATCCGGGCAATTGATTTGTAGTTTTTTTTGTTGTCGGTTCGGCACATTTCTGATAAGGGCAACAGTCTCGAACTGCAGGTCATAAATTGGGCAAATTATTAGGTGCGGGCATCGGATAGTGAGAAATCATCTTTTTGTCTACTTTAAAGTATAATCAAGATGTAGCTGTAGAGAGAAAAATTCGGATGATTATCTTTGTGAGGCGTCCAAACCTAAAAGCACAGAAATTGTTTGAAAAACTTCTGGCCGGATAGTGGTGTTTAAACGGAAAGCAGAACTTGGTCTTCTAGCTTTTCTGGTTGGATCGAACATGAACTTAACGCGGGACTTAATTGTTGTTCGGCTGTATAGTCAGGGTCGTCCCCTTTTTGCTTTTGCTCTTCTATCTTCTTTGTGATTTTTTTTTACCACCCCTCAGTAGCTTACTGTTTTTCAAAAACCGAGAGGAATGTAATTCAGTTGCTGATAGTACATAGCTGCGTTGGAAACTTAGGTTGTGAAAATTAGCCAGGGTTCATTTGGGACAGTTTTTTTCCTATTTGTTAAAGTGACTTTTTAGTTAAAAAAATAAATTTTTTTAACTAGAAAGCTATTTTAAGAAGTTGTAAGATAGCCGTGGCAAACGAAGCCTTGGTATGTGCGGTTTCCGGAGAGTTTGTGGAATCGGGGTAAGCGTGAGGTTGCAGTTCTAGTTTAGCGCAGATTAATCCATCGAATGAGATTTGGTGAGGGCGTGGGCAAAGGCTTCGGGAAGCGCTGATGATTAACACGGGTAGCGATCTGGCTTAACAAACATACGTGGTTGTTTCGTAATCAGTAAGGTTGGCTTGTTTGTGATGGGTCTCGTGGAGAAGGCTTCACACGAATATGGTGGCTTCATGCGCGGATGGTGTAGATGGTGAGAGTGATTTGTTTTTGTGGAATCTTCATTTGGAAAGAAGTGCCAAAGATGAGCATAAAATTTATTTGTATTCTGTTCTTATGGTCAAGAAAAGCCTATTGAGCAATGTTTTAATACTGTCCTTTGTTTGTGTTTTCCACCTTACAGCTGCAAAGTTAATCTGTTTTTTTAATGATAATTCTAACTGTATTGAGGCGAAATGTGTTTTTTATAATTATTTTGCATGAACTCAATATGTAGGTTGAGCCATGGTTTAAGGTTTTGTAAACTATGGTCTTTGGCCCAATAGAATAGCGGTGAGGGCCTCACTTGTTTGTTTTGAGGCGTATGCCTAAGGGACTGACTGGCCTTTGGCTCCTGAATTGAGGTCGTGTCTGAATTTCTTTATCTGGCTTTTTTACTTTGATAATCATAGGCTTAATTGACTTTATAATTTATAATAACATGATTCATAAAAAAAATTTGAGGAACTTTTTTTTATCCACACTACAATATTTAGGAACCTCATTACAAGCTAAAAATTGAGGCGCGAAAGTAATTAACTGTGTGAAGATTTTATTGAAGGGCGTCTATATTTAGGACTGTGTGTGGCTTTTGAATTCAATGTTTATTGTCTTATACTTCATAGTATATTAAATTGGGAGTGGGAGAGTTTTCTTTGATCTTATTTTATTGGAAGGAAATTGAGCCAATTCTTTATGATATTAATTTGTTATTTGTTATTGAGTCATATACGGAGAAGCACTTTTAAATAATTATCTATATTTTTTTGAGCTAATTTTATTTTTTAAATTTGTGGGTAATTATGCAAAATATCTTTAGCTTATGTCTTGTCTCATGAATAGGAAATGCTTAAAATCTAGATTGCACAATTTTTTGGTTGATTAACATATGTCTTGATTATTTGTATGTATTTTTGGCAAATGAGGGGTGATGAGTCAAATTCAATTAACTCTTTATTAGCTTGAACTCAAGATATGAAGGTTGGCTTGCATTAAGTTTTTGTGCAAGTTTATCCATTTTTAATCTGGATATATAATACTTTATAATGTGTTCAATATTTAATAAAAATGTGTAATTGAGATATTAATTATTGAGCCGCAAATTAGAGGATTTTTGGTAATGCTTGTATGCTTTATGTTATTTTCATCACTTTTGATTTATCAAAATTATATTATTTTCTTTCCAACAGTGAGCTTTTATGCTATTTTGCTCTTAGAGATTATTTGCAAACAATATTTCTTCAGAATGTCTTCTACTTTCTCTCACTGCAAGTTATGTTATTGCATTCGTGGCTTCTTAATCTTTTAAATTCTCTATACCTTTCTTATTTCAGTCTTAATGGATATTTTCATCCTTTCATTTGTTCCAGGATTTCTTTCTTCAGTATGTTCCCTGTTATTTTTTAGTGGTGTTATGTTCATTATGCGAGTATGTTAAGCTTCCGATAATCAATAGTTCATTGAATTTTCATACAGAATGCTAATTGCTAATGTATGTTTCCTTAGAGTTCTTCCTCGTAGCAGCATGCATGCATCATTGTAATGATGCATTTGTTTGTATTGGTTGTTTAATTTGGTATTTACCAAAACCTTGTACTTTTGTAGGTTTCAAATGGTGATGTGGATCTCAAACGGGCATCAAAGCGACCTGACTTGAAGGCGATATCCAAGGCAAGCACTTGATATCCTTGTAAATACTTCATTTGCTTTGAAGAATTTGTTTTTTTTTGTTTTCATGGTACTTTGGATGAATGATAGTTTATTAATCCTTTTTTTTTTTCATCTTTTGTTCATATACTTTTTTTCTTGACTTTGGTGCTAGAATTTTGGGGTTTGTACCAAACTTCTTTGTTGAGTTGTTTCATTTTTTTTAACAACAAGAATGCTGCATGTGTCTTGAGGGTCTTCATTTTTACTGTCTTTGGCAAACGTTTCACATTCTCTTCTTTGTTTTTCAATCGCCAGATGAAGTCAAATGGTTCTATACTCTACCCCGAAAAAAGGATTGGTCATCTTCCCGGTTAGTTTTCATCTTTTCATTTCCTTTGATGTATTGTAGGTTTGAACGTTGTTGAACCATATTTATTGGCCTTCTTGCTTTGAGGTTTTATATGGACATTTGCTGGTCTTAAGAAATTATTTGTTTCTTCTTTCTTTTGTAGGTATTGGTGTTGGAGATCAATTTTTTTCACGGGCGGAAATGGTTGTTCTAGGCATACATAGTCATTGGCTTAATGGTATTGATTACATGGGTGAGAAATATGCAAAATTGGTAATGTTTCAATTCATCTTGTTTGATAGTTTTTACTTTTTTCTGGCTGAAGTTTTTGACATTTTATGGTTCGAAATCTCCTTGCTATCATGGTTTTCTTACCTTTGTCAGTAATTGAGTGGCTTGATCTTACATGACTCTAAGCTCCAACTTATGCCTCATCATTTATCCTATTATAATTGCGTTAGAGCTTATGATTGCTTTGTCCTTTCAGAGCTCCTTGCGGTGGTAATTTTCTTTTCTTTTAAGCATCATCATCATGATCATTTTCCATCATCAGAGTTAATGAACCTTCATTCTTCTTGCATTTTTCCTAAGTGTTGTGTGGTGGTATTGCGTCTTTTTTTGAAACTTGTGTTGGTGTTACTTTCTTATCTAATCCCTTTTTCCAACTATTATTTGTCATTAATTTTATTTATTTGCTTAATTGGTGCATCTTCTAACTATCATTTTACGTGCACAAATCAACATTAATCTAATAATTCCTGTAATATAATTTTTATAAGGTATTCTTTTTCATTTATTATGCTTCTTCATTTAAGATTTTTTTTTTTCATTAGCTTATTTTAGTTATTTCAACATTAGAGTCTAAAGATTTTTGTTCGAGTAGATCAAAAACTGAATTTTTGGAGTGTAATTTTAATAGTAATAGATTTACTGGGGGAATTGTGATTTTGGGCGATCAAGTCATTAATAAAAGTGCATGTTTTAAATATATTGGGTTTATTGTTCAAAGTGATAGTGAAATAGATGGAGATATTATTAGTAGAATTTAAGTTGGATGGTTGAAGTGGAGGAATGCATTGGGTGTGTTGTGTGATTAGAAAAGTCTCCCTCAAATTTAAGAGAAATTTTATAAGATGGTGGTGAAATCTCCAATGTTTTATGGTGCAAAATGTTAGCCCTTAAAAGAAAGCATAATTTTAGGTTAAGTGTTGCAGAGATGAGAATGCTCATGCGGATAAGTGGATTTACTCTTAGAGACATGATACAAAATTAGCATATACGTGAAATGGTTGGTGTTGCTCGAGCGGAAGATAAAATTACAAAGGATCGTCTTAGGTGGTTTGGTCACATAAAATGACGGCCTTCCAATGATCCTGTTAGGAAACTAGATGCATTAAAATTTGGCTTATGTTAAGTAAGGTAGAGGTAGACCTAAAAATGTTTGAATAGAAAATATTAGAAATGAACTTTCTTTTTTATATTTAAATGAGAATTTTACTCTTAACATGACAGTGGAGAAAAATATTCATGTAGTTGACCCCACGTAGTGGTATAAAGGTTTGAAGTTATTGTTGTTTAGCTTATTTTAGTGTTAATGAGTTCCTTGTTGCTTATAACTTAGATGCTTACAGCTTGGTGTACCCAAATTATCTGATATGGCTGTCAGTGTGGCTCAACTTAGTTTTTTTTTTGCTCTCATAATACCATTTGTGCAATTAATTCCAAATTTGTAAATTTTTGAATAATTTTGCAGCTTGGTTTAACTTTTAAACTCCTTTATGTATTCGCTCTTTAAGTTATCAGGCATTGTATGGGTGTGGATGTGGTTTCATATTCTCATTTATGCTTTTCTTACTTTTTAATGAAGAATGTGAAAATATGATTGACTTTAGTGACTTTATCACCCTAAATGAAAATAAAGATTTTTGTTTTTATCGTCGTATAAGTAAAACCTAAGTTAGAGAGACTTTAAAGAAAATGAAGTGTGGAAAAGCTGTTGGACCTGATGATATTCCAATAGAGATTTGGAAATGCTTAGGAGATGAAGGAATTTCTTGGCTTACTAAACTTTTTAATACTATTTTGAAGACTAAAAAGATGCCAGATCAGTGGAGAATGAGTGTGTTAATTCCTATTTTTAAGAATAAAGGTGATGCACATGAGTGTGCGAATTATAGAGGAATTAAGT